CGTGGCGCCGATGAGCAGCAGCTGGCGGTGGCCTCGGCTCTGGCGGTTGTAGCTCAGTGGGACGGTCACGGCCACGAACCTGTGGGAGTCACGGTGGCGGGGAAAGGGGGGAGGAGCGGGGACACGGTGAGCGGGGGCGGGGTGGGGGAGGAGACACGGTGAGCAGGGGAGGCAGCGCGGGGCACTCACCTGTCGATGCTGATGGCGCAGAGGTTGAAGATGGAGGCGGTGCACAGCATCACGTCCAAGGCCATGAGCACATCGCAGAGGCTGGGGCTCAGCAGCCACACTCCGCCCTGGACCTGGGCCGCGGGCGCAGCAGCACGAAGGGACGCTGACGGTTACCCAGCGGTGGCGGGCGGACGCTCAGCGCCTCTAAGACGAGGGCTTTTTCATTTCACTTTGGGGCGACTGAATATCAAGGGAGGAGCAGCCAGATCCCCCCACAGCCCTGCCCTGGACACACGTCTGGGTCTCCTGCCCCCCATCATTACTCTGCGACTTTAGAACAGAGAACACTGGCGAAGGGTCAGCACTGGCCCCCAGGATACGCTGATCTCTGCTGACCCAAGCTCAGGGCACAGAGGGTCACTGGGGTGGTGCTGAGGAGCTCCCGCCCAGGCAGACTGGTTCTCTGGACAGGCCTGCAGCCAGAAGCTGGCAACTCTGCTGCAGACTGTCCAGTTCACTTGGACGTTCTCGGACGCTGCACAGGCCAGTCCTCACGTGTACAGTAAGGGTGGCCACAAGAATCCTGTCCTGAAGGCACTGAGTTCAAGAGTGCAGAGAGCTCGGCCAGGGCCAGGCCCCCAGGGACAAAGGCTCAAACCCCCACTGCTCTCCTAAATCCCCTCCGGGTCGTTTGGGACGATTAGGAGCTTAAGTCATTACGGTGACGTCTGCGTGTGGGGGAGGGAGGGTGTCCTTGTCCTGCTGGCCTCTACCCCAGCCAGGCTTGGACAGCCAGGGCGGCATCCACCTGAGGAAGCCCCGGCTCCCCTCCCCCACAGCTAGGACGACGCGTCCCCATCCAGGCTTAAGCCGCTTTTCTCTGCTCAAACTCGGAGCAGAGGGAGGCAGGGCCCAAGGTGGACTCAACACAGACAAGACCTGGGCTGGGGGTGGACGCCCCCGACCCCTCCTTACCCCCTCCCCACCCCTGGCTCTGATGCCTGTCCAGATCTCCCCTCTTCCGCTGTGGTGTGTGTTCATGTGCCTCCTTGTTAGACGCGCGCGCGCGCGTGTGTGTGTGTGTGTGTGTGTGTGTGTGTCCAGCAGGGAAGCCAGGCCTGGGGGCAAAGCCTGCATCTGCCTGGCTGGCTCCATTAGAGGTGAATCCACGGGGAACAAGAAGGGACTAGGCAGACAAGGTCATTTGCTCTTGGGGTGCCTGGCTAGACAGGTTTTTCTTAAGTCGCACAAGCTCCTAGGGAGTGAGGAGAGGTATGGAAGAGGAAAGGGGAGCAGCCACCCCAGCCCGGACTCCGAGAAGCCCTCCGGCAGGTGGAGGCGGCACAGACCAGCCGAGCGCTCACCTCGGAGTAGACGAAGAGGGGCAGCACCAGTAGTGCGAGGAGGAGGTCGGCGGCCGCCAGGCTCACGATGAAGTAGTTGGTGGGCGTCTGCAGGGCGCGCTCGGACGCCACGCTCACGCACACGAGCGAGTTCCCCGCGAGCACAGCACCGATGAGCAGCACGCCCCCCACCAGTGCCGCCACCGCCCCCGGGGTCCCCGCGCCCTGCGCGCGCCCCGCCAGCAGCCCGGCCTCGTCCGCGCTGCGGTTCACCATGGCGCGCCGGCCCCATGCGCCCCGCAGGCGCTCAGCACCTTCACCTTCGACAGCGCCCGCCTGGGCGAACCGGCGGGAGCCCCAGCCCGACCAAAGCCTGTCTCAAGAGCCCCGCCCCCGGAAAGCCCCGCCTCCCGGAAGCCTTGCCCTCTAGTTGGGCCACGCCCCATGCAAGCCGCTTCCCAGATCAGCCCCGCCTCCTCACAGGTAAAGCACGTTCTCTCTGTAAACCCCACCCCTGGTAAGCTCCGCCCTGGGTAAGCCTCTCTGGCCCCTCCCCAGGACTTTTCACCCTGGTCAAGGCCCGCTCTTGCCTTGGCCTCTCTTCATAATCCTTCCCCCTTCTGTAACCTCCTTTATCTGGCATTTCTCATCTTGGATGTGGGTCTGGAGAAATGGTTCAGAGAGATAGGAATGCAGAAATTGAGCAGCTGTGTGGGCTCAGCTGCGGAGGGTGGGGGACCAGGAGGCCAGGGCCCTTCCTTGCCCCTTTTATTGGCTAGAACATGTTATGAAGTGTTTCAGCCGAATTTGATTACTTAAATTTTTATGTTAGTTTGCATACAGAATTCGCATCCGTTTTGTTTCTCATTGTATTCCATATGATCATTCCCATGCACTGTGATTTTATAAAGTTTATCAACTTTGATATATGTCCAGAAAGTGATTACTTTTTTATAGAAAAAGATGCCTGCAGCAACGCTCGTTCCTTAATGCTTTGAACTCTTGTGGTTTGGTGGTAAGGAGTTGCACTGCCAGCCTACAGGCAAATGGTTCAAATCCACCAGCTTAAGAAAGATGTATAATCTTTTCCTATGGATTTACTTGGAAGGAGGAGTGGCGTCCACTTCCGTAATAGCTTGCCTCTGGAAACCCTATGAACCTGGAGAGAGGATGAAAGGAACCCAAGCATAGAGGACTCTCCTTCACAGGGTGGCTATGAGTCGCCTGCGACTGGACGGTACTTAACAACAATGGATTTACAGGCTGTGAACACTTGCCGGACTGTCAGCCATGAGTCAGTTCTGACTCAGTGGTCCATAACAAGTTGGTTATAACAACAAAACCAATTTTTCTCCACCCGATTGATGTGCACATTTATAGAAAGAAGACTGAAACTTTACACTCATTTTCTGACAAGCTCTGGTCACTATTTTCCAATTACAATGAGCTTCAGGTCACCTGCTTTCTTCCAGAGCACCTGCTATCTGAACCCTGTCCTGTCCGGCACCACCCTCCACTTCCTGACACACTGGAGCCCATCGCAGCGGTCATCATGTCAATCCACCTGGCTGAAGGTCTTCCTCTCCTTTACCGACCTACTCCCTTCCCAGCATCATGCCCTCCATGGAATCACCCCTTCCTAGCAACATGCCCAAAGTATGTGAGGTGAAGCAGCGGCATCTTGGCCTCTAAAGAGCGCTCTGGCTACACCTTCTCCAAGACGTATCTGTTTGTTCTTTTGTCAGTCCGTGGGGTGTTCAGTAATGTGCTAAAGTGTGCTTCTGAACCTGTATCAATAGCTCTTTAGAGATATGAAGTCAAAGGAAAGAGAAAAAGAAAAAATGTTTGCTTATTATTACTAATGAATAATTCACAAAGTTGAGGGAGACTTAGGACCCCCCAACGAGGTAGGTTGCCATGGTGGCTGCAGCTCACGTAAGTCGGAGCTGAGGATGGCGCAGGATAGAACAGGGTTCAGACTGCTGCACGCAGCGTCGCCATGAGTGCGCTTAGCTCGATGACACCTGACAGCGTCAGTGTAATGATTCAGTGTATCACTATTCGGAAGAAAAATTTTGTTAATTTAGTATTCATACAAGAAAGAATTCATTTAAGCAATTTACAATTATATCATATGTATTCTCTTTTTCAAAGTATAATCTCCATTTCCTTTTCTTAAGGATGAGCTTCTTCAGCCTTTAAGGAATCAGATTTGTACCGGCCTTGGAGGTGGGCGTGGGGCAGCATCACAGGCCTAAACCTGGGTGGATGGCCAAGCATCCCGGCTTCCCAGAAGTGTTCTTCACAACCTTGCTGGGAGGTGGGGCAGCTCCCCAATAGTGCAGCTGTTCACAGTGCAGGCGAGGCCCGTGTGCATCAGACACTTGCTTCAGAAATGTCCCTGACACAGATGCACAGATGCCTCTGCTGTGCTTCCAGTGACAACCGTCCTCCTTGCCTCCTCTCTGGGCAGCACTGGGAGAGCAGCGAGGAGGCTGCACATGGCCGCGGTCCCTTTTTGGCCCCTTGCTCTCCCTTTATTCGTCATCTTGGAAGCGAGGCCCTGAGGCTCTTGGCTTAGTTGTTGTTATGTGCCGATGAGTTGAACCGACCCGTAGCTGAGACTCCAGTGGATTTTCAGAGGCAGTAAATCCCACAGGAGGAGACTGCTGGTCCCTCTGTCAAGGAGCAGCTGGTGGATTTGAACCACATGCCTTTGAGGTGGCAGTGCAGCTTCTTGCCACTAGGCCACCAAAGCTCCCTCTGTTTATTATTCTAGAATTAAAATTTTCCATCTGTCCAGAAAATGTTATTTTGACAAAATTTTCATTTTATATTGGTTTACTTACAAAGATCATATACCTCGTGTTTCACGCTAGCCTTGATTCACGTTGTGTTTCATGCAATCATTCCTGTTCATTATGGGAAAACATTGATAAAAGCATGCGGTGGGTCAACCCTTACCCTTAGTTTGCTCCCCCCGCATTGCTGTTGTTGGATAGCGATCCTATGAATATCAGCTCTGACCCTGTGCCGTCCTCACCATCTCTGACACACTCGAGCCTGTCGCTGCAGTCACCATGACGTCATCCAGTTGACGGTCCTCTCCTTCACTTGCCTTCCGTCCTTACAGCCTTGTGTCCCTCTCCAAGAAGAGCCTCTCTTAATATCATGCCTGAAGTATGTGCCAAGGAGGACTCTGGCTGCCCCGGGAGGTAGCGTGAGACCTCCACGTAACGTCCCAGAGTCATGGGACTGTCACATGCAGGGTGCTATGCAGTAGCCACATGGGACTATTTTTTGGTTTTGAAAATTTTATTTTAAAAGTGTCATACTAAGGGAGCTCTGGAGGGCAGTCCACACGCAGTTGTGCTGCTGACCCCAAGGTGGTAGCTTTGACAACAGGAACTACCAGCATGTCCACTGGGGAAAGATGGGTACACACGCCCACACACATTTCCTTTGCCATTTACGGCCTTGAAGCCCCCTGGAGAGTCAGCTCAGAGTCAGTTCTGATCGGGCGATGAGCTGAGAAGGGCTTTCTAGGGGACACCTGGTGGCACAGTCCTAGTTAGTTGTGTTGCTAACACAAAGGCTTTTCATCTCAGCTGGTTCGAATCCACCAGCTGCTTCTCAGGAGAAGGGTGGGCAGTCTCCCCCGTGGGATTTAAGTCTGGAGAACCTGCCGGAGGGTGCACGTCTGGGGAAGGTTCTCACAGACTGACACAGAAGGGAGTCGACGTCGAGTGTCACCAAACCCAGAGACCCTGTGGACAGCATCCCTCCTGGACATGCTGCTTCCTCTGCCTTGTCCACTGGCCTCGAGACCTGTGGCCATTTGGCCCTGTGAGCCTTGGGTGACCCCTCTAGAGCCTGCAGGGTCCTGTCCCTTCCAGCATGTCCACAGACGAAGGCAGCACGCACCCAGCCCAGCCTCTGTGATGGTCAGCGCCGTGGCCCTGGAGTTCCTTGTCGCACTGCAGTGACCACAGCCGTCTCTGCTCTGGTTGCTTGAGCCCCAGCTTCTTGGAGAAGAGGTTCCTAAGCCCCACCTCCACCTTCCCCACCAAGAGTTCATGGTCACTCGCCCTCCCCTGGTCCTTGGACACTAGGCCCATCGCCTGCCCCCTCCAAAGGCTGAGCTGGGGCCACTTTGAGTACCATCTGCCAATGGTCACTTGTCAGAACAACACAAAAGGTGGTGCAAAGCATGGGCAGGGTTTGCACCGCAGCGCCTGGAGGGCTGAGCTCAGTTCATGTACACCCAGCATTTGCATGAAAAGTTTGTACAGGACAGAAGGGCCATAGAAGGTGGTAAAAAGGAGAATTCCCACTAGAGTGCATCGGGACAAGGTTTTGCCTGGCACTTTATAAAACCTCTGTGGCATGGGCTGGCAGGAGCTTTTGCTCTAGCCCTGGGTCTAAAGGGGCCTCAGAGTGAACCAGCCATCACGTGGCCTCACACACGGACCCTCCCCTTCACGTCAGAGCCATTTCCCTTGGGCAGGACACTCGGGATGTTAGAATCAAGGATTCGGATTCTGAAGCTCTCAGAGACCCAGGAGCCAGGCTCCGAGGCCCCAGGAGGTGAGGCACACACAGCAGTACTTGTATTTACTGATCTCTAGAGAACAAAGCCACTTTCATTTCAGGAGACATATTGCACTAGGCAAGTCCACTGCCAGCAACCTCTCCTGAGTACCAAGGAGCAATGATTTCATTTTGAGAACCAAGGTGCATCTGATCCAGACCACAGTCTTTTCAGTCACTTGCCATGCTGCTGAGACCTGGACAATAAATAAGGATGACAGAAGAAGAAATAAGCCTTTGAACTGTGATGTAAGAGAAGTATGCCAAGTTTCGCATGGACAGCCAAAAGAACAAACAGCCATGTCTTGGAGAAGGTGCAGCCAGAGTGCTCCTCAGAGGCAGAGATGGTGAAGCTTCACTTCACATACTTTGAGCATGTTGCTAGGAGAGGCTATCCCTTGGAGAGAGACATGAGACTTAGAAATGTGAAGGTCAACGAGAGAAAGCCCCTTGATGAGATGGGTTGACACAGTGGCTGCAGCAATGGGCTCAAGTGTGTCAGCCGATGAGGACGGCACAGGACAGGGTTAAGGTCTGCTGTTTAGAGCACTGCTGTGAGTCATACTCAACTTGATGGCATCTAACCATAACAACAACAAAGAAGAATTTTGTTTCCCACCACATCAAAGAGTCTGCTGCACAGTGAATCAGGCATCTGTGTCTCTCCTCACCCTGCAGCAGCTTCT